ACGATTTTTACAAATTTTTTTTACGAATTACAACGTTTAGTTAAACTACAATAATTAATTTAAAAATATGAATTACATTACTGAACATAATAAAATAATTTCATTATATACAATGCATCATAACAATAAAATCAAGGTCAAAACCCATGCGATATACTTTTATTCCCAGATAGGCACATAGCTAATTTAATTGATTATTTGTTTCATTTTTAGTGAAAGGTGGATAATTTATTTTTTGTTTTATTATTACTATTGTTATAATTATAGTCAATGGACAATGGGTATTTTTATTATATGATATTCCTATAATATTAAACAAAAATATACCAAGGGTTGTTCATCAGTCCAAGATCGGACCGAAGATTGAAAATTAGAATTTTAAGAACCGAAGACCGGACCGATTAAGTTAGGACCGAGCCCGAACCGGACCGAAAGAATTGGTCCAAAACCCGGACCGGGCCGTTTTGGACCGATTTAAGAATTTTTTAAAAAAGAATACTAAATTTTTAATAAAGTTAAGGAAAACACAAACAAAGTATTGGAAAAACTGTATTGTAATGTCATTTTTACGTCTTTTTTGTATGTATAGTGCAAAAAAACTTATAAAGTTAAAGTTTAATAAGCTTATTAAGGATAATTTTAACCATTATTTAAGGTTTTACACATATTTTTAATAAAAAATCAGTCCGGTCCAAAACCGGTTTTTATAGGGTTTTGGACCAGACCGAAGACCGGAAAAATGAATTTCAAGACCCGAAGACCGGACCGATTAATTCGGTTCGGGTTCGGTCCAGGGTGGTCTGATCCATTTTTTTTGGTCCGGACCGATTTATGAACACCCCTAATAGTTTGTATAAATGTATCATTTGATTAATTATTTAGGATTGCATATTTGTATTATATTTACAAATTGAGGTGCAATATTAATAAAAGTATACATCCTTACAACTTCATTAATTTACTTTTTATCGAAAATTATGGATTTATTCTTGAAATTAAAAAAAAAGTACAACATATACATATAGTTAGAAAAGAAAAAAAAAAAGAAAAAAAGAGAATAGTTTTATTTAAATTAGTCTTATACTTTGTAGAAAAATACTACTCTAATACCCAATCAAAATGCTAAGAAAGATATGAAAATATATATTTGCAGGAATGGTAGAACATATATGGAAGAAATTTGATAACATGGAAGAAATTTGATGACAAGTATAGAAGTTAATATTTGACACACACACCCCCCCCCCAAAAAAAAAAAAAAAAAAAAAAAAAATCTAAGATGACATGTTTCATCCCAAAATTCACCTTTAGTATAAAGTTATAAATTCTTTTTCCCTTCAATATAGATATCCTAAGTATAAGATTGAATTATATATATCTTTTTTTTTTTAGGAAAGAATTATATATATATCTTATTTACTCATTCAACACAATTTTTTTTTTTAATTTTTATACTGAGTTGTGAAGGCGTGAAGCCTTGATTTTATATGAGGTATTATTTATACCTTTGTTTTTTTTTCTTTTTTCTTTCAACATCACAAGATATATCAAATTAAACGTGCAAAAGAAAATAATGTTGTGCGTTAATTTAAGAAGAGAAAGATCTTTTGGTTATACATGAAAATTCTAAATCATAACAAAAGGTTAAAGAAGTATGACCCGACGTGGCCCAACTCAAGCATGACCCGACCCAACCCAAACCCGACCCGCATAGGTTATGGAATTAATTCGAATTGACCCGACCCGAGTTGATCCGATCCACTCTTACCGTCCCAAACCCGACACCGGTAAGAGTTGTGGATATTAGTCTTCAATTTTGGAATTTTTTTTGACTTTTTTCGCCCGGAAATAAAAATTGCCGAAATGTTTACCATGGTCCCTAATACCCTCCGTGAGTCCAATTGGTTGGTGGAGCCATCCAATTTGCCTTTAAACGACCAATTTAATTACCGGTTTGCAACTTGCACGGATTTCATTAACTTAAGCCTACCATGAACGTTTATGACAACATATAATGATCATAAATGGTTCCAAACGGCATTATATGACCCCGAGATGTATCCCCTAAAATTTCAATGTTTTTCGACACCGGGCCTCAAAAACTCCAAAATTTTTCAAAAAGCATGGATCTTAGCCTTCAATTTTGGAAATTTTTGATTTTTTTTTCTCCAGAAAATAAAAAATTGCCGAAATGTTTACCATGGTCCCTGATACCCTCCGGTAGTCCAATTGGGTGGGTGGAACCATCCAATTTGCCTTTAAACGACAAATTTACCGGTTTACAATTTGCACCGATTTCATCAAATCAAGCCTACCACGAACATTCATGACAACAAATAGTGATCATATATGGTTCCAAACGACATTATATGACCCCGAGATGAATTCTCTATAATCTCAAGGCTTTTCGATACCGGACCCCGAAATCTCCAGAATTTCTCAAAAAACGTGGATATTAGCCTCTAATTTTGGAATTTTTAGAATTTTTTTCGCCCGGAAATAATAATTGTCGAAATGTTTGCCATGGTCCCTAATACCCTTCCGAAGTCCAATTGGGTGGGTGGTGCTATCCAATTTGCCTTTAAACCGCCTATTTACCAATTTATAACTTGCATCGATTTCATTAAATCAAGCCTACCACGAACATTTATGACAATAAATAATGATCATATATGGTTCCAAACGACATAAAATGACCCCGAGATGTATCCCCTAGAATTTCAATACTTTTCGACACTGGGCCCAGAATCCTCCAAAATTTCTGAAAAAGCGTGGATATTAGCCTTCAATTTTGAAAATTTTGACTTTCTTTTCGCTCGAAAATAAAAATGGCCAAAATATTTATCATGGTCCCTTATACCGTCCAGAAGTCCCATTAGGTGGGTGGAACCATCCAATTCGCCTTTAAACGACGACCAATTTACCGGTTTACAACTTGCACCGATTTCATTAACTCAAGCCTACCACGAACATTTATGACAACAAATAATGATCATATATGGTTCCAAACAGCATTATATGACCCCGAGATGTATCCCCTAAAATTTCAAGACTTTTGGACACCGGGCTCTGAAACCTCCAAAATTTCTAAAAAAACGTGGATATTTTAATTTTGGAATTTTTTGACTTTTTTTTTTCGCCCAGAAATAAAAATTGTCGAAATGTTTACCATGCTCCCTAATACCCTTCGTGAGTCCAATTGGGTTGGTGAAACCATCTAATTTTCCATTAAACGACCAATTTAATTACCGGTTTACAACTTGCACAAATTTCATTAACTCAAGCCTACTACGAACATTTATGACAATATATAATGATCATATGTGGTTCCAAACGACATTATAAGACCCTGAGATGTATTTTATAAAATAAAAATTGCCCGAAAATAAAAATTGCCGAGATGTTTATCATGGTCCCTAATACCCTCCGGTAGTCCAATTGGGTGGGTGGAACCATCCAATTTGCTTTTAAACGACCAATTTACCGGTTTACAATTTACACCGATTTCATTAAGTCAAGCCGACAACAAACATTTATGACAACAAATAATGATCATATATGGTTCCAAACGACATTATATGACCCCGAGATGTATCCCATAGAATTTCAAGACTTTTCGACACCAGGTCCCGAAACCTCTAAAATTTCTCATAAAGTGTGGATATTAACCTTCAATTTTTGAATTTTTTGACTTTTTTTTCGCCCGAAAAAAAATTGCCGAAATGTTTACCATAGTCCCTAATACCCTCTGAGAGTCCAATTGGGTGTGTGGAACCATTCAATTTGCTTTTAAACGACCAATTTACCGTTTACAACTTGCATCAATTTACCGGTTTACAACTACCAATTTAACTAACTTGCATCGAACCCAACTTTAACCGAAATTGATCCAAATTCGTTTTAGCCCGTCAAAATTCGAATTTAACTCAACTTGTTACTAGCCTGACCTGAATTCAACCAGACCTGTTCCTAACCCGACTTCAAATCACCTTTAATGCAATTTAGACCACCTTATTATTGTTGATCAAAGCATTTTGTTTTGGGAAACCAAGTCTATTCAGGCCAGCAAAAGAAAGGAGCATCCTCCTCAAATTTAAGAGTTAAATATAGTACATATTTGTTGTATGGTCAAAGGAGATAATTATCTTCCTAAATTATAGACTATAGTATATTGTCATATATATTATAGTCAAAGGAAATAATTATTAGCTTGATAAAAATGATAATTATCTATTTATAGTTAGTTGAACCTAAATATGATCTGACTTGGAAATGACCCGACCTGATTGTAACCTGTAAATTATTGACTTGAACATAACCCGACTTGAATCCGAGAATGACCCGACTTGGAAATGACCCAACCTGATTATAACCCGCAAATTATTGATTTGAACCGAACCCGACTTGAACCCGAGAATGACCCGACTTGAAAATGACCCGACCTGATTATAATATGCAAATTATTGACTTGAATCCGACTTAAACTCGAGAATGACCTGACCTGATTCTAACTCACAAATTATTGACTTGAACCGAACCCGAAATTACCCTAACCCGTGAAAATTCGAATTAAACCCGACCTATTATTCACCCGACTCGAATGTAACCTGACCTGTTATTAACCCTACCTAAACTCGACCCAAACCCGAGAAGAAATATGACCCGACGTGACTCGACTCAAGCATGATCCAACCCAAATCCGACCCGCATAGATTATGGAATTAATATGAATTGATTCAACACGAGTTGACCCAATCCACTATTACCCGACACGTTTACTTGAATTGACAGCTATATATATTATGCAATTGCACTGCACGGGCACGATAGAATTCGGATAGAAATGCAAAATGGGGATATGAGCCCATGAGGCCATGATGCACCCTATCAATCCATCTATCATCCGTTGATCCTTCCCAATCAAAGCTGTTAACAGTAGATGCATGAATAATGCCACGGTGTCACTCTTCTTCTTTGCCAAAAATTCACACTTAAAAACTTTCCCTTTTTTCCTTCTCTTTCTCTCTCTTAATCTGTCAGTTTCTCTCTCTATCTCCTCCATTCCTCACTCACTCTCTCAAAAACTGCAAATTTCATCACGCTCCCAGATCACCCTTTTCTCTTTCTCTCTCTAGGGTTCCACAATCCAGATTCTCTCTCTATCATTTTCTAGAGAGAGGAAATTCAAAGCCTTCTTAAAGGAATTTTGCCTTTCCTTCCTTTACATTAGATTCCTCTTGATTCTGATCAAATTTTACCTCACCGATTAATTTTATCCATAATCGCAGACGTAGATCGGTATTTTCTGCTATAGATTCGATTTTATTTGTTTTTTCTTCGTTTTTTGATTGTTTTTTTGACGATTGATTGAATTTTGGGTTACTATCACAATTATTTGATTAAAATTTGGGGAAATTGTTTGGCGGATCTGTAATTATTGTTTGGAATTGTGATTTTTCGTATCAATTTGATTCGATTATATTGTTTATTTGGAAGTTGTGTTGCTGATTGCCCAAGGAGTAACGTCGTGTTAATGTAAGTTCATTTTGCACTTAATTTTTGTGTTTTGTTTGATTTCAGCTTGAGGTTTTGTTATTTGATTATGTTTGTTTGGATTTCCGAGGTTTCGTATTGTTTCGAAGTGATTATTTGATGTCATATGATTAGTTTAAGTAAGAATTGGATGTTTTTGATTAGTTGAGTTATAAAGAAAGTGTAATATGTTGATTACAGCCTGAAATCATGTTTGCACAGATAGTATGATGATCAAGTGAAGTGGCAAAAGTTTTTCAGCTTGAAATTTGGATGTTGTTTCAGTTTAGCTTAGATAACTTTTGCTTTTTTTTTTTTTGGGAATAATAGAATTGTAACTCATATTAAGTATTATGTTGATGCAATTATGCAGATGTTTTGGTTATTGCCAGAGAAAGTTAGGCCAGTTTGGTAGAATTAGATGATATGCAGCAGTTCTTTAAGAAATGTTATAATTCAAGTCGGGTGCATCGGGGTTCAATCCAGAGGAAGTGTATGGCTAGGAATCACGGGACGAGCTTTGCATGACAAACGTAGTCCCTCGTATTCCTTGAGTTGTGAGATTAGAAGGTTCAGGGCAAGTGGAAAAATGATGGTTGATACTAGTTCTATGCAAAATCGGGGTTCCGTAGTGGGTGTCTTGCCAGAGAAAGGGGAGAATGGTGGCTATGCTAGTGGTGGATGCAAAAGGTGAATATCAGATTTATTCAAGAATTTTATCCTTTCCATGTAGGAACTTGATTGCCTAGAACTTAATGACGGCAGCATATTACAAGTATCAGTGTAAATTATTGTTTATGATGGCAAAGGATTGTTGAGAAAGTCAAGTTAATGTCTGTATCTGTTAAATTCGAATCTCTGTCATTGCTAATTATTGTTAATATTATTATAACCTAGGTGCAACATATATTTTTTCCAATGCTCTTCCAAGGGCTGAAAAGAGAATGTTTGAATGCCTGATCGACTTCAGGATTGATGTTTCCTAACTATAGTATTTTGTATTAAATGTTATTGGCTTAGCAAGTTTATGTCACCAGTTTCTACTGGTTAGTGGTTACTACCAAACATGGCTTTCATTGAACTTTATAGCATCCTATTGTTTGTGTCATGTCAAATTTATGCCTTTTTTTTTTTATAAAAAATATTAATGGCTCCTTGGTTTGCCTCAACAAATTTAGTCACCTATTTGCTACTTGAAATGTTCCCAAATTATAGCTGATCTTGTTAGTAGTGCTTTCATTGCTTTGAATTAAGGTTTCACATCATACTTGGGTTGAATGAACGTAGCACAACCCTTATTTTGGTTAACAATGGACAAATCCTCTTCTTAATTACAATTTTTTGCAAGTTACCCATTTGTATTCACTTTTAAAAGCTACCCCAAAACAATATTAAATTATCATGAGACAATGGTACCATTTTTTCTGATGTTTTCCTTGTGTAAGGGGTTTTACTTGTTATTTTAAGAGGTATTTCATAGTGTTGAAAAGAAAGAGCACTTCTTTGGCACACATTCTGCAGAGAATAACATTAAAGTTTGTATTTGGCATAGCATCCAAGTAAGTGGGTACAGGCTTGAAAGCTTGACCTCACTTAGAAATTGGCAATTGAAAGGCCTGGACCTCTATAACTGTGTGTTTTCCTGTTTAGGTAACTTTTTCGCCCCCTGATGTTATCATTTACTCTGCACAATTAGGTGTTTGTTCCCATCCTTTCATGATTATAAGCAGTGTTGCATTGGATGAGCCATTAGAAAAAGGCTGTCCAACTCTGCATGACTACATAGATATCTTTAAAAAGAATAATAAAAATTATTGTGGCATTTATGTAGATTAAATTGGTCTCGATTTTTAATTTGTTCTCTTTCTCCAAAGCTTAATTGACAATAGAACTTTGATGTGCCAATTTTATGTCTTAATGTGTTAATTTTTGATCTTTCTGCTATAGAATTACATTTTGAATAAATAAACCATTCATTTCTGCTATTAAGTGGCATTGCACTTCTTGATTTTCTTCTTGTGTGACAGTGAAGATGGAAAGTTAAGCTGTGGATATTCAAGTTTCCGGGGAAAGAGAGCTAGCATGGAAGATTTTTTTGATGTCAAAATGTCTAAAAAGAATGGGAAAACTGTGTGCCTCTTCGGAATTTTTGATGGTCAGATTTTATTTACTTGACTTGCAGCTCGCTTGTTAGTATTCTGTTTTTGAAGAATTTGAACCTTGTTAATGTGCATATTTAGATGCATCTTGCACATTTCCCTTTTAACCCTCATTCTCTCTTATCTTTCTTGTGGTTAGGTATCTTTCTTTTGCAGTAAGTGAATTTGATTGCCGCATTCTGCTGTACTGATTAGCTTTTATCACCTTAAATTTCTTTGACATTGGAGCTGTATTTTGTGTCCTGTTAGTAATCTTAGTATAGGGCATATCTTCCCTCCTCTCTCTCTCCATCTTTATACTTTGCACGAAGTTAATGTGGACTTTAAGTTGGATCTCTGATAAATAGGAGAGTTCAATCAATAAATGCTAAGATTGCTAACGTTTTCATTACCTTGAGATGAAAGAGAAAGCTCTTATTCTAGAGTCTCATTAAGTTAGCTGGTAGATCTGCTGAAGGTTATTAACATGTGATCAAAAGAGATAATGTAGTTACTGCTGTTAATTGAATTAGCTAAAGAGTGTAGCGGTAGGATTTTGTACGGTCAAGACTTTTTAGTGATGTAAAGGCCATTTTGTGAAGCAAATATAGATGCATTCCTGCAATTCATTGCGCATATTGACATCGTTGAGCTCTTAAAAGCTTATATACATAATGTAGTTGCTACAAAGTTGGAACTTTTGTTTTATTTTTCATCATGAGTAGATGAGATGCTAAATGGTATGTCTAAATGTAATCTTCCTCCATTTTGTTTTTGATTTATCACTTTAAAAATATGAATTTCTAGTCAGTTTTTGGAGATGAGAGGGATAGAGAGTAAGAAAAAAGAGGACCCATGTGATATGAGAGAGATATAGACAATTTATAAACTTAAAAGGTTGCATCAGATTTGGAACTTTCTTATGTTAGAAAGTAATGCTTTAAATAGGAAGTAATGCTTTAAATAGGAAGTAGTCTGCCTTAGTCTAGATTTCCCCTCTAGTCAATTCCTGCAGCTATGGCTGTGAGATCCAATATTAGACCCATGAGATGTGGAGTTGCTGCTTTCTTGACAGAGTTTTGTTACTGTATGTCTGTGGTTCTGCTTGGCAATTTGGCCTGCTTTAAGGTGATATATGCTGGAGCTTACAACAAGTTGCATATGAGGAGAGAATAAAAGTTTCCAGATGAGGGAGGATAGATTGTTGGAATTCCAACTTGAGGAAAGTGAACCTGAGAGAAGGGGGAAAAGCAAATTAAGTAAAAAGCATTGGATCATACTATAGATTGTTTTTTTCTGTGGTATATGGTTCAACATGGAATAGCTTTATTTGCTTTGTTATTTATGATGTGATAAGCATAATGGTGTGTGTGTACTGAAATAGAAATATTTTTTCGCTTGGCCTTATTTTTTACAATTGTTTGTAAAAGTTGCATCGTAATATCTATTAATTTGGCAGCTCCTGTACTCAGGTCAAACTATTCATAATTTTTATGTGCTGCCATGTTCTTATTAACTTGCACAATATTGTAGGAATGCTGTGCATTTTAGCTGATTTAGTACATGACAGGAATTTATTCAATTATAATTATCTCTAACTATATGCCTATTATGAGTGATTTTTTTACTTGTTGTGCTAGTACCAAGAATATGAACATTAGGAAAGTGAAAAATTGAAAATTTACTATTAAATCTATAGTTAACAAAATTTATATGTTGTGTAGGTCATGGTGGTTCTCGTGCAGCTGAGTACTTAAAGGATTATCTCTTTGAGAATCTCATGAAACATCCAAAATTTATTGAGGACACTAAAGTGGCTATAAGTACGTTCCTATTTTGCTGGCTGTTGTGTGTTGAATGTTAATTGATGCTCACGTGGCTGCATTATTTCTATGAACATATGATTGCATGTTTAATTAACTTCTGTATCTTTCAACTGTTAAGAAGGCCACTTAACTTGATTGGTTATTGTGTACTTTGTTCATGTGCCAATGTGTAATATAATTCTTGACATATAATACAGAGGCTCAAAATGTACAAAAATATTTAATTTCAATTTTAATGAACATAAGAAGTTACTTCATAGAATATATTCTTGTCCCGTCTTTTTAAAATAAAAAAAAAAATAGTTTTGAATAAAAAACAGATTGTGCTCTGCTTTTGTGAAATTATATCCTGTTTGTTATCTGATAAGTGGTCAATGCCTCAGGTGAAACATACAAGAAAACTGATGCGGAGTTCTTGGATTCTGAAAAGGATACATTCAGGGACGATGGGTCCACAGCTTCAACAGCAGTACTTGTTGAAAACCATCTTTATGTTGCTAATGTTGGAGATTCACGCACAGTAATATCAAAGGCTGGAAAAGGTTAAATGTGTGAATATTTGTTTTGCTAAAATTTGTGGAATACATTGAAGTAGTTATCAGTGTGTATTCTTGTATGGTGTAATTTATAAAAAAAAAAAAATCCAAATCCTATTGCTTATTAATGAAAATTATTGATGATTTATCTGTCATTGTTCAGTATGAGGTGGAGGTCATGTTTCTTGAAGAATCCCCAGTAATTATGAAAACTGAAAGACAGTAATTAAACTGTATCTTGGTTTACTGAAGAGGACGTTTGGGATTTAATTATTCTTAATATACTGGAGATGGCTATTAGGATTAACCTCTTAACCAGCTCAACTAAATGTTAGAAATAATGCTGGCAGGGATAACCCAAAAATAGTGAAGAGTTTTCTGATGAAACAAAAGAGAAGCTCCATTATGATTTGTTATTCTTAGACCTTTTGACTTAAAGGTGTTGTTGAAAGTGACTTTTTTTTGATAAAGGAGAGTGCTCAAAAATTAGAATATACTTTCATGTGGATATTAATGGAGTGACCACGCAAAGCAAAATAAGTTCTTGCTCATTTAGCAAAACATTACTGATGTTTTAATTTGTTAGCTCCCTAAAAAATGATTATAAGCTGGGTTGATATACAGGATACATCCTTAATTCGTTATATGATTATATGCGACGCATGTTTGTGCAACATAAATGTTTTACTGTTAATTTCTCGTCTTTTGCCTATGTTGAATGGATTTGAAGGTCCTTGATATTTTACGTCACTTATCTGAACAGCAATAGCCCTTTCTGAAGATCACAAGCCAAACAGACTTGATGAGCGGAAGAGAATAGAGAGTGCAGGTGGTGTTGTAATGTGGGCAGGTGAGATCAACATTCATCAGAGGACTTCAGTAATAGCTTTTTCTTTCATTGTGTTAGTTCTCTACAGATTTCTTTTATCCTTGTAAAATTATTGCCTGATGACCAATCTTTTTGGGGAGGCTGCTCAAAGAGACATCTATCATATAAGAGAATGTCTTTTCTAGATTGGTGTGTTCTCAAGAAATGCTGCTGCTTTGTGCTATCTGCTAGGTGCATAGCTTCTTTCTTGGGCATGATTGTCTGCGAGTTTTTTTTTTTTTTTTTTTTTTTTTTTTTAAATTTTCTCTCTTTCTAGAGTTGTAGATGTCCTGTGTACCAGTTATGAAGTTTGTCTCTTATTCCTTGTAATGACCTTTTGGGAAGATTATGAAGGTTTGTTATGTTTGCATATCTTGTGATACTGAAGATCGATTAGTGTTGGTTGGTTTCCTGGAGACTTCTGCAGTTGCTAAGCTGTAGATACATCAGAATATCAGATACCTTGCCCTGTAGAAAGAATGGAGATAAGGGATGTAACAGAGTATTAGATAGGTTGTCTTGTTGACCCCTGTGGTAGTTGTTTTCTCAAATTTCCGAATCATGATGACCTTTCTCAAATTCTCCCTTGGATAATTTTGTGGTTCAATATTGTATCATTTTTTTTTTTGAGGAAAAAAAAAATGATACAATATTGAACCACAAAATTATCCCAAGGGAGAACGGTTTGGAGTGGTTTCCAAAAGAAAGTATCCATTATAATATTTTGTATAGGCCTATGTGGACTTTCTGCTGTGATCGTGTGAGGAAGGTAATTGTTTGTTTTTGCAATTTATATTTTTGGTGAGTTGCCACTTACCCTTGAACTACTTAGACTCTTAATTCATAGTTATTTTGGCTGAGTGGTAACTTCTGAACTTACACTAGCGTCATTATATTAGCAGTTGGCTTCTGATAGTTTTTATTCAGCCTTGCAATTGGCAGTATGAAAATTGGAAATTGATCCTTCAGGTGAGTTGCTTACTGATTATCTGCCATTTGGCTGCCTTTTTCTTTTGCTGATATCATGTCGATGCCTTTAAAGAGGTTTTAGCTCCTTATGGGAGGAGGTGGATATCTGCAGCCTTAGTGCCCACTTTGCTATAAGACGGTATTTCCAGCCAACCATTAGTGCTATGCAATGAGTGTTTATCTGCTCAAGAAATTAGAACCGCAGTTTCATCAACAAGTGCTAATTTAGTCTAGTATAACCCAAATGCCAATGGATGGTGAAATTTGGACTCCACTAAAATTGACTGATAAGTTGAGTGATTAGGCATTCTGTGTTGTCGTGTTTCTGGTATGTGGTATTTTTGGGACTTATACTAGTTGAAAAAAGAGAGAGATTAATGGGGAATTTGTGAAACATGTAACAATCTGAGAGATGAGTTATCCTGTACCTTGATTAGATATATACTTGTGTTGGGTGGCGCTGATATTTGATTATTGCTTTGATATTTGTTAATTATGCAGTTGTAAATTTGTGTTGCAACTTTTTCTATGTGTGATTCTTCTTGTGCTTAATGGAAGCAAGATTATCCACAATGTTGGCTTATTGTGAGCTATACTTAGCTCCACCTTTACAAAAAGATCTATCTTACTAAAATGAGTTCAAATTTGTAAACTAGTTTAATTTTCGAAACTTGTGCGGATCCGAGTCTGTATAGACAGCATGTGTGATCCAATCTTTTACAATTCTTTTTTGAAGTGTTGTCAAGCATGTCCTAATGCTTCAACTGTAAATGTTAATTGTCATTATCTGTACATCATTTAACCTTACATTGCCTTTTCCAGGGACTTGGAGAGTTGGAGGTGTATTAGCCATGTCTCGTGCTTTTGGCAATCGCATGTTAAAACAATTTGTTGTGGCAGAACCTGAAATTCAGGTAAAAACATTAAGACCTGACAACTATTTTAGGTTTGAATATCATCCATTGATCGTACAGAATGGTTAGTGTAATCTTCAAATTTTCTTTCTCGAGTAGGGTACATATTATTTTTATGAACAATGATATCGAGGTTCAGATAAATGTGTCTTTATAATGTATTCTCTGTTGTGTCTTAATTATTTTGATTTATTAATGTAGCAAACTTTTGGTTAGACCCAAACTTTACCCTATGCAATGTTTCTTTATAATGTAGTCATCTCTGTTGTGTCTTAATTCTTTTAATTTTTTAATTTAGCAAACTTTTGGTTAGACCCGAACTTTGGTGTAAGGTCATGATGAAGTCATGGAGGTATCAGTTAGCTTCTTTTAGCCTTTACACGGGATATCTTCCTATCTAATATCTGTGGTAATCCATCTTCCTCACAATGTTTTCCATCTTTTTTAAATGTGATTCTCTCTCTCTCTCTCTCTTTTTTTTTTTTCCCCTAATTAGATTGAATTGGCATTTTGGGTAATTTATTTGTATTAATCTTCTGATGGATTGGGCTCTCATCCTTTTGTTGGTTTAGGACTGTTAATTCATGGATGTAACTGATGTAAAGGCGTCCCCTGTTGATTTCATTCTTTTGAAGGTGTTCAGACTTCTAATAACGTTGATTGTCAACTATCCTTAATCTTCGAATTATGTGTGTTTGTGTTCCTTTGAGTAAAAGAGTGTAATTTGTGATGTTTTTCTTTGTGGGTGTAGTAGTATAGAGGGTTTACATTGAATAGTCATTAATGATTAGTTTACTGTCTCAGGAACAAGAGATCAATGAAGAACTTGAATTACTTGTGCTTGCCAGTGATGGCCTTTGGGATGTTGTCCCAAATGAGGTATGCTCTGTTCTTGACAATTAATCTGCTACATGCTGATTTTCTGGTTTATATTCTAAAAGAAATTAAGGTTTTTATTTTTTATTTTTTATTTATTTATTTATTATTATTTTTATTTTTATTATAAAAAAATTAAGGCCAGGTACTTTTAATTATATGATGTTAAATGTGTTCAATTTGAGCAGACTCTTCTACGTAAAAGAGTAATACAGTGTTTTTATAGTATTGGTTCTTTTAGTGATTTTAGTTTATACCTTGAAGAGGATACTTTATGGCCTTGTTTGGCAAATGGCGGTTGTGGGTTGGCTGGTTCACTTGGCTTGTTTGACCTGCTGGAATGTTTGGATGTTTATAATGACTTTTGAAATTGACCGTTTAAGCTGACTGTTTATAAAAGTGTTTGGTAAATTATTTGTTGCTTGTTGGCTGTTTATTAGATAATTTGTGGGCCAACAAGTCAAAAAAAAAAAAAAAAAAAACTACTACTCAAAGCAGCTTTTTCATTTTGGCTTAAAAGCCAGCTTTGTTGCTGACTAAAAAGCCAATTACCAAACACATATTTTGGCTGTTTGACCACATAAAAAAGCTAAAAGCTAACCAAAAAGCCATCAAAAAGTCATTTACCAAACATGGCCTATATATTGTATGGGCCATATTTCTGCTATTTATTTGTATTGTTGTTGGCCATTAGCTCACTTATGCAGTGTTCTGTATTTTGTTGCATCAGATTGTATTCAAAGTTTTCTACCAATTAACTAAAGTGTTTGTGCTTGCTGTGTGATCAGGATGCTGTTTCGATTGCTTGGGCAGAGGAAGAACCCGAAGCGGCTGCTAGGAAATTAACTGAGACTGCTTTCAACCGTGGTAGTGCTGACAATATCACCTGCATTGTGGTAAGGTTCCACCATGACAATGCAGGTAGGCCCCAGTTCGAGCAGCAGAAGTCACTTGAGCTCCATCAAGACACAAGTGCGCAACCTGAGCCTCAACAAGAATTGAGCCATGTACCCGAGCGCCAAGAGGATCACAACAATGTTGAGCTCCAACAAAATCAGAATAGTATCTTGGAACTCCAACAAGACCAGAACAATGACATGGCGCTCCAACAAGACCAGAACAATGACATGGTACTCCAACAAGACCAGAACAATGACATGGATCTCCAAGATGAACAGATGAAAGAAGTTGATCAACAAGATAAGAGTAAAGAAGCCGAGGTTGGACAGGAGCCTGGTCAAAGAAGCTAAGAACAATGACAGAACACATCTTATATGAGAATATTATGTGTTATAATTTAAATGTTACGTTTTAAATTATTCTCTCACAAGAATGAAGACACTGTTAAAAAAGTACCTTCAAAGGAGTTCAAGCACTTGATTTCAAAAAGTATTTAAAAAAAAAAAAATCATTTCTCAGACAATGTGCTCCTTTGTTATTATCCCAAGTAAATGCAAATTCCTCCATAACTACTATCTGTTCCTTTTATTTTTTACGTTTGGTAACAGGTTTTATGAACAATGACATATATTTAATGGGTTTATTGGGATGAAGCAATCAAAAATATTGCATGGGTATAAAATTCATGGTAGATATTTTTTTTAATGATAAAATAGAGAGAATTATATATTACGAAAGTTTTGAAGGACATAAAAAAAATTGTATACGTTCAAAATGAGGAAGTTGGGTAGCATTTTACTTGTATAAACATCCTGTTTTCTAAAATGTGATTACATATTCAAATTCAAAAGGTGAAAGCACGAATACTGCACGTTTGTAAAGCTTAGGGCCTGTTCTCTTACGTTGAAATTCAGTTTAGTTCAGCTCAGTTCAGTTCAGCTCAGCTCCTAATTTTCTTCTCTTATAAAATATTCATTTCAGTTCAATTCAGTTCAGCTCAGCTCAATTCAGTTCAGTTCAGTTGAGTTCAGTCAATGAGAACATGCCCTTACTCGTTATTAGAGCTGTCAATTCGGGTAAACGGGTCAGGTTTGGGTCGGGTAAACTCGGGTCAAATTATTTCCATAACCTACGCGGGTCGGGTTTGGGTTGGGTCATGCTTGAATCGGATCACGTCGGGTCATACTTCTTATCGGGTTTGGGTTGGGTTTAGGTCGTATTAATAACACGTCGGGTTACATTTGGGTCGGTGAACAATAGGTAGGGTTTAATTTGGGTTTTCACGCGTTAAAACGGGTAAGGGTAATTCTCGGGTTCGGTTCAAGTCAATAATTTGCGGGTTAGAATCAGGTCGGGTCATTCTCGGGTTTAAGTCGGGTTCGGTTCAAGTCAATAATTTGCGGATTATAATCAGGTCGGGTCATTTTCAAGACAGGTCATTTTCGGGTTAAAGTCGGGTTCGGTTCAAGTCAATAATTTGCGGGTTATAATCAGGTTGGGTCATTTTCAAGTTGGATTCAAGTCGGGTTATGTTCAAGTCAATAATTTGCAGGTTACAATCAGGTCGGGTCATTTTTAAGTCAGATCATATTCGGGTTCAACTAACTATAAATAGATAATTATCATTTTTATCAACCTAATATAAATCCGTCGGAAATTTCGGCTTTTCCGACGGAATTACCTGTCCGTCAGAACTAATCCGTCGGAATTCGAACTGATTCTTGAAGTGTTAGGGTATACATCTTGGGGTCATATAATGCCGTTTGAAACTATATATGATCGTATATGTTGTTATAAATATTCGTGGTAGGCTTGAGTTAATGAAATCAATGAAGTTGTAAACCGGTAAATTGGTCGTTTAAAGGCAAATTGAATGGTTTCACCCACCCAATTGGACTCCAAGAGGGTATTAGGGACCATGGTAAACATTTTTGGCAGTTTTTATTTCGGAGCGAAAAAAAGTCAAAAAATTCCAAAATTAAAGACTAATATCCACGCATTTTGCGAAATTTTGGAGGTTTCGGGGTTCGGTGTCGAAAAGTATTGAAATTCTAGGGAATACATTCTCGGGGTCATATAATGCCGTTTGGAGCCATATATGATCAATATATGTTATCATAATTGTTCGTGGTAGGCTTGAGTTAATGAAATCGGTGCAAGTTATAAACCGGTAAATTGGTCGTTTAACGGAAAATTGAATGGTTCCACCCATCCAATTGGACTCCCGGCCCAGAGGGTATTAGGGACCATGGTAAACATTTCACCAATTTTTATTTCCGTGCAAAAAAGAGTTAAAAAAATTCCAAAAATGAAGGCTAATATCCATGCTTTTTGAGAAATTTCTAAGGTTTCGGAGCCCGGTGTCAACAAGAAATGAGATTTTAGGGGATACATCTCAGGGTCATATAATGCCGTTCGGAACCATAAATGATCATTATATGTTGTCATAAATGTTTGTGGTAGACTTGAGTTAATGAAATCGGTGCAAGTTGTAAATTGGTAAAATGGTCGTTTAAAGGCAAATTGGATGGTTCCACCCACCCAATTGGACTCTCAGAGGGTATTAGGGACCATGGTAAACATTTCGGCAATTTTTATTTCCGGGCGAATAAAGAAGTCAAAATTTTCCAAAATTGAAGGCTAATATTCACGCCTTTTGAGAAATTTTAGAGGTTTCGGGGCCCGGTGTCGAAAAAGTTTGAGATTTTAGAGGATACATCTCGGGGTCATATTATGTCGTTTGGAACCATATATGATCATTATATGTTTTCGTAAATGTTTGTGATAGGCTTGAATTTATGAAATTGATACAAGTTGAAAATCGGTAAATTGGTTGTTTAAAGGCAAATTGGATGGTTCCACCCACTGACCCACCCAATTGGACTCCCAGAGGATATTAAAGACCATGGTAAACATTTCGACAATTTTTATTTTCGGGCGAAAAAAATTCAAAAAATTTCAAAATTAAAGGCTAATATCCATACTTTTTGAGTAATTTTGGAGGTTTCGGGGCCCGGTGTCAAAAAGTGTTGAAATTATTGGGAATATATGTCGGGGTCATATAATGTCGTTTGGAACCATATATGGTCATTATTTGTTGTCATAAATGTTCGTGGAAGGCTTGAGTTAATGAAATCGGTGCAATTAAATTGTAAACTGGTAAATTGGTCGTTTGAAGACAAATTGGATGGTTCCACCCACCCAATTGGATTTCCAGAGGGTATTAAGAACCATGATAAAGATATCGGAAATTTTTATTTACGGGTAAAAAAAAAAGTCAAAAAATTCCAAAATTGAAGACTATTATCCATACTTTTTATGAAATTTTGAAGGTTTCAGGGCCTGTTGTTGAAAAATCTTGAGATTTTAAGGGATACATCTCGGGGTCATATAATGTCGTTTGGAACCATATATGATCATTACATATTGTAAATGTTCGTTGTAGGATTGAGTTAATTAAATATGTGCAAATTGTAAACTGATAAATTGGCCTTTTAAAGGCAAATAGGATGGTTGCACTCACCCAATTGGATTTCCGGAGGGTATTAGGAACCATAGTAAACATATCGGAAATTTTTATTTCCGGGTGAAAAAAAGTCAAAAAATTCCAAAATTGAAGGCTAATATCCAGGATTGTTGAGAAATTTTGGTGGTTTTGGAGCCCGGGGTCGAAAAGCCTTTAGATTTTAAGGGATACATCTCTGGTTTATATAATGTTGTTTGGAACCATATATGATCATTATATGTTTTCATAAATGTTTGTGGTAGGCTTGAGTTAATGAAATCGGTCGCTAGTTATGAACCGGTAAATTGGTCGTTTAAAAGCAAATTGGATGGTTCCACCGGTCTAATTGGACTCCTGGTGGGTATTAAGGACCATGGTAAACATTTCTACAATTTTTATTTTCAGGAGGAAAAAGTAAAAAAATTCCAAAATTGAACACTAATATCCATGCTTTTTTGAGAAATTTTAGATGTTTCGGGGCCCGGTGTCGAAAAGACTTGAAATTTTAGGAGATACATCTCGGGGTCCTATAATGTTGTTTGGAACCATATATGATCATTATATGTTGTCATAAATATTTGTGGTAGGCTTGAGTTATTAATGAAATCGGTGCAAGTTGTAAACCGGTAAATTGGTCGTTTAAAGGCAAATTAGATGGTTCCACCCACCCAATGGGACTCCCAGTCGGTATTAGGGACCATGGTAAACATTTTGGCAATTTTTATTTCCGGGCGAAAAAAAGTCAAAATTTCAAAATTGAAGGCTAATATCCACGCTTTTTGTGAAATTTTGGAGGATTCAAGGCCTGATGTCAAAAAGTCTTGAAATTCTAGGGGATACATCTCGGGGTCATTTAATGTCGTTTAGAACCATATATGATCATTATTTGTTGTCATAAATGTTCGTGGTAGGATCGAGTGAATGAAATCGGTGCAAGTTGTAAATCGGTAAATTGATCGTTTAAAGGCAAATTCGATGGTTCCACCCAATTGGACTTCCGAAAGGCATTAGTGACCATGGTAAAAATTTCAGCAATTTTATTTTTTTCGGGCGATTTTTTTTTTTAAAATTCCAAAATTAAAGTTTAATATCCACACTTTTGAGAAATTTTGGAGGTCTCGAGGCCCCGGGTGTCGAAAAGTTTTGTAAGTTTACGGAACACATTTTGGGGTCATATAGTGTCGTTTGGAACCATATATGATCATTATTTGTTTTCATAAATGTTCGGGGTAGGCTTGAGTTAATAAAATCGGTGCAAGTTATAAATTGGTAAATTGGTAGTTTAAATGCCAATTGGATGGTTCCACCCAGCCTATTGGATTTCCAGAGGGTATTAAGGACCATGTGGTAGATATTTCGACAATTTTTATTTCCGGGTGAAAAAAGTTAAAAAAATTCCAAAATTAAAGGTTAATATCCACTCTTTTTGAGAAATTTTAATTTGGAGGTTTCGGGTAGAGCTGTCTATGTTTGGGTCAGTAAGAGTGGGTCGGGTCAATTCAGATTAATTCCATAACCTATGCGGGTCGGGTTTGGGTTGGGTCATTCTTGAGTCGGGTCATACTTCTTATGGGGTTTGGGTTCGGTTTAGGTCAAGTCAATAACAGGTTGTGTTATATTCAGGTTGTGTGAACAATAAGTCGGGTTTAATTCAGGTTTTCACGAGTTAAAACGGGTTAGGGTAATTCTTGGGTTCGAGCCGGGTTCTGTTCAATTTAATAATTTGCGGGTTATAATCAGGTCGGGTCATTCTCGAGTTTGAGTCGGGTTTAGTTCAAGTCAATAATTTGCGGGATATAATCAGGTCGGGTAATTTTCAAGTCGGGTCATTCTCGGGTTCAAGTCGGGTTTGGTTCAAGTCATTTATTTGCAGGTTATAATCAGGTTGGGTCATTTCCATGTCGGGTCATTCTCAGATTCAAGTCGGGTTATGTTCAAGTCAATAATTTGCAGGTTACAATCAGGTTCATTTCCAAGCTAAGTCAGGTCATATTCGGGTTTAACTAATTATAAATAGATAATTATCATTTTTATCAAGCTAATTATTTCATTTGACTATAATAAATATGG